TCCACACGATCTTTGAATATTATGTATTAATGAATTGAACTCAACCATACACACTCTTTTGATGTCTCATATAAAGTAATGATAATTTCTGAACGATTAGAAGAGGTAGCTAATAGTGTCTCTTTAACGGATTTCCATGAAAAAGCAGTACCTCCATAGAGGAATACATATCCGGCCTGAAATCTAGCGTTATGTGGATCAAACATATAACCAGCATCCGAATATCCCACTAATGTGGTATCTTGATTTCTTTCAAATAGAAGTCCAAGATCCTTTGTACTCTAGTATTTAGCGGGAAAGCGTGGCACCTAGAGGGACACTCATGTGGCTGAGGAGAGTGGACCATTGTGGTATGTGTACCTGTCCACGACATGCGACCCTGGGAGTAGTATAAAAGGTTGGGGCAGTGTCCGGTTCAAACCATCATCAACACCCTTCTCTCTTGGCGTCCCCTTCACTCAACGGTGCAGTAGTAGTCCACTAGTTTGTGGTTGCACTTGGTAGTTGGAACCCTTGGGTTGTCTCCTTTGTTAGTTTATTCAGTACACTTGTAGCCACGCACTTGCATTGTTTTATGGGTTTTGGGGCCTATCAATACAATATCTTTTTCGTACCCGTTACTCGGCATTAATCCTATTTTATGGTGACTCCTGTTTATTAAAAATCATCATCAATGTGTTATTTAAAAAATGTCAATTAGATGTTTTTAACAATATTTTTTATTAAGTGTCTAAATTATAGTACTAGAAACTTTTAATTGAAGTAAAAATGAATTAATTTTGTTCCCCTTATATAATATTTTCAAATTTAAAACATTATCAATATAATTAATCAGCAGTATGTGTTAGGAATATAGCGGAATAATGCGGAAGCGAAGAATCGAAAATTGAGAATTATAGAAGTTAAATAATAGGGAAAATAATATAAATGACAGAATAAGGCAATTGCTAATTTGGGAGATTATAAAATATATATATTAATCTCTAAATAGAGAATACAAAGAAAATATATATATTAAATATATACTCTACGTGAGAGAAGATAAAGAATTGAATGAATTAAAATTGATGCCTGATTACAAAGGAATTCTAGCCTATTTATACATTTCAAACTAGAGACAAATGTGGTGATTGTAAGAAGACCCAAGAAATTAGGTGAAGATGTGAAACATGGATGCTAGTTTCATGGTGAGTGGTCTTCATGATTTTGAGCCACACAATTTGAGCCACATATTATATCTAACAATCTCCACCTTGGATCAAATTCATTGTGAGAATTAACAATTGGAACAGCCGACTAAACTCAAGCACTACTTGAACTTAGCAACAGGAAGAACCTCATAATAGCAGGATGGATCATCATCAACCTCCTGTGCGACTGAAAGAGCATAAGCAACCAAGTTGGTTTCATCATCACTAGCATACCTAGCAGGTTTTTTAATTGTCCTCCTAGGACGATCCATAGCAATGGAATACTCTCGTTGTGGCTCGACGAGAGGTGCGGTGCTAGTAGATGCATCATCTTTAGTATTACCATCAGCAGTAGTAACACTATCAATAGGCCTGAACTCAAACTCCACCTTCTCACCAGTACTTTGCGTCTCATCTGTACTGGGAACTTTTCCAGAAGAACGTAGTGCATTTTCATCAAAAGTGATATCTCGACTCAGAATGATTTTCCGAGAATCAGGAGACCATAGACGATACCCTTTTGACTCAGAGGCATAACCAAGGAAAATGCATTTGACAGCTCTCGGGTTCAATTTACCCGTACTGGAATGAGCATAAGCAGGACATCCAAAAACTCTTAAGATAGAGTAGTCAACAGGATTACCTGACCAAACTTCCTCTAGAATTTTGAAATCAAGGGATTAATGTGGAGATTTATTTACCAAATAGCAAGCAGTAGAAACGGCCTCGGCCCAAAAATCACGCCGTTTCCATAACCCAGCATTAGAGAGCATACAACGAGCTCTTTCCAATAGAGTCCTGTTCAAACGTTCGGCAACACCATTTTGCTGGGGTTTACCAGGCAAGGTCTTGTGCCTGGCGATTCCATTTGCCGCACAAAAGTCATTGAAATCTGACTCACAGAACTCCAAGCCATTGTCTGTCCTGAGCTTCTTGACTTTTTTACCTGTCTGAGTCTCAACAAGTATTTTCCATTCTTGAAAATAGAAAATGCCTGATTTTTATGTTTCAGGAAATAGACCCAGACTTTACGAGAAAAGTCATCAATAATAGACATAAAATATCTACAACCTCCCATAGACTGGAATTTAGTTGGTCCCCATAAATCGGAATGTATATATTCCAATACATCTTTGGTACGGTGTGTAGCAGTAGAGAAACTTACCCTCTTTTGTTTCCCAAAAATACAATGCTCACAAAATTGTAATTTACCCGTACCTGAACCACCAAGGAGGCCTTTTTTGCTCAGGAGATGCATGCCTTTCTCACTCATATGCCCTAGACGCATATGCCATAATTGAGTGAGATCCGCATCAGACATCGATGAGGATACCGCTACTGAACCCGTCACAGTACTGCCATGCAAGACGTACACGCTTCCAGAACGAGAAACTTTCATGAGAACAACAGAGCCTTTTATGACCTTCAAAACTCCACCTTCAGCTATGTACTTGTATCCCAGAGATTCCAAGGTGCCCAACGATATCAGATTGCGTTTCAAATCAGGAATATACCGCACATTGGTAAGAGTCCTGATAACATTATCATGAGTTTTAATCTGCACACTTCCAATTCCACTAACCTTGCATTGGGTATCATCACCCATCAAGACAATTCCACCATCAACCGGTTCCAGAGAGACGAACCAGTCTTTGTGAGGACACATGTGGAATGTACAACCAGAGTCCAGAATCCACTCGGTTTCGCTCCGTTTGCAACCGGAGCTAACAGATAACAAAACATCGCCTTCTGAATCACTTTCAACAACACTAGCTTCAGCGGACTTCTTTTCTCTCTCTTGCTTGTTTTTCAACTTGAAGCATTCAGTCACATCATGACCATGCTTCTTGCAGTACTTACAGGATTTGTTGGACTTATGTCCTTTGGACTTGGATCTAGAATTTTTATTGCTACTCCCTGATTCAAGTGAACGACCCCTTACAGTCAAGCCTTCACCTTTGTCCTCAGACTTAATTTCAAAGTCAAACTTTTCTTTGGACAATAGGTTCGACTTAACATTGTCGAAAGTAAGGGTATCACTACTATTACCATACAACATAATTTCTTTGAAATGCTTGAATGAATTAGGGAGAGAGACAAGCAATAAAACAACACGATCCTCATCGTCAATTATGACATCAATATTTTCCAAGTCCAATAAAATAGAATTGAATTCATCCAAGTGAGATTTAATAGAAGTACCTTCCGTCATACGGATTGTGTACAGACGCTCCTTCAGACGTAGCGTGTTCGCCAGAGTTTTGGCCATGTAAAGCGTATCCAGCTTGGACCATAAATCTGACGCAGTCGTCTCACTTAACACCTCACGTAGAACCTCTTTAGACAGGCACAAAAGAATGGTTGAACGTGCCTTGTCATCTAGATCTTCCCAATCTACATCTGTCATTGTAGCTGGGTTCTTCTTCTTCCCAGCTAGCGCTTTCTTCAAACCGTTCTGGGTTAGAACGGCTTCCATCTGAACCTTCCAGATAGAAAAGCTAATTTTCCCGTCGAACTTCTCGATATCGAACTTAGTAACAGTTGACATCTTTGAAAATAATTCTCAAATAAACTTGGCTCTGATACCACTTGTTAGGAATATAGCGGAATAATGCGGAAGCGAAGAATCGAAAATTGAGAATTATAGAAGTTAAATAATAGGGAAAATAATATAAATGACAGAATAAGGCAATTGCTAATTTGGGAGATTATAAAATATATATATTAATCTCTAAATAGAGAATACAAAGAAAATATATATATTAAATATATACTCTACGTGAGAGAAGATAAAGAATTGAATGAATTAAAATTGATGCCTGATTACAAAGGAATTCTAGCCTATTTATACATTTCAAACTAGAGACAAATGTGGTGATTGTAAGAAGACCCAAGAAATTAGGTGAAGATGTGAAACATGGATGCTAGTTTCATGGTGAGTGGTCTTCATGATTTTGAGCCACACAATTTGAGCCACATATTATATCTAACAGTATGTTTTCAAATGTATCTGATCTAACTGCAACTCATCATTAAATGTATATAATAGAGTGAATTCCATTTTTGGTCCTACTGTTACAGGGGCGTTTTCAATTTCAGTCTATTTTAATTTTTTTTTTGTCACTTTACAACCACTGTTATTGAATGTGTTCCACTTTTAGTCCACCGTTAATATTTCTGTCAAGAGGCCGTATAATCAAAGCGTATTTTGGTCTTTTTATGTTTGTTTCTTCTCTTTTAATCCAGGCGCTTCGTCCTCCTCCTCCTCCTCCGATATTCGAAGATGGCTCTTCGAACAACGAGAATGGGAAGCCAAAGCTACATCGTTTCGTTCGTTCCAACATGCACTACTGGAAATTATGGAATTTCCGACCACCTGAAAGTGATCTTAAATCAAGTTGAAAGTAAAAAGTGGTCGGAAATAGCAATAAGAGTTTTTCCGGATACCCAAAGTGGTCGGAACAAGGCTTTCGACTTGATTTAAGATCACTTTCAGGTGGTCGGAAATTACATAATTTCCAGCAGTGATGGGCCGACGAAGTTTCTTAGGTTTTAGGTTTAATGTTATCATTTCTTTAGTCAAACATAGTCTTGGATGAGAAGAAATGTCAAAATACTCCTAGATTACACGGCCTCTTGATGGAAATACTAGCGGTGGGACTAAAAGTGAAACACAATCAATAATAGTGATTATAAAGTGGTAAAAAAAATTAAGGTAGACTAAAATTGAAAACGCCCCTATAAAAGTAGGACCAAAAATGGAATTCACTCGTATATAATATATATAGGAAAAATAAACCGTAGATATGATCTGCCTCAGGATTAGACTAAATCAGTCGCATCCCGCGAGATACGGATATCTTAGTAAAAAAAAAAAAAAAAGAAAAGAAGATAGTTGAGTATCTCCGTGCGTGCATACAATAAAGAAACCACACACAATAGCAAAAAATTAGTAAAGATTAGACATGCATGCATATATCACCAGAAGGAATCCCCAGCATTGCTTTGGTCCACCGCCATGTCGGTGCCGAAAGGGTCGGCGCCGCCGTGAGTAGTATGAGCGTGCCTGGACGACGACGGCGATGCATTTTCCGGCGAGTTGGAGGACGAGAAGGGCTGGCGCATCCTCATGTGCACCACCTCAGCTTGCGTAAAGGCCAGCTGTGTTTGGAGGACGTCAACCTGCTGCTGCAGAGACGATATAGCTCCGACACAACCGTAAACCGGATCCCTCATCCTGGCATTCGCCTCGTACACCATCGAACTCACGGCGTCGCCTCGCTGATGCTCAGGCAAATCCTACATTATTATATTATTAGCGCATGCATGCGACTCTGGCCATGTTTGGTAAATGGCTATTAGCTGATTTGGTTGATTAGAGAATATATGGTAAAAAGGTGTTTGGTAAATTAACTATTAGCTGATAGTTGTTTGGTATAATTTCTTTTCTCAACAAACTAATTAAAAAAATTACTTTGAGCAACTTTTTAAATTTTAGTATTTTGGAGTTACAAAAACTAATTAACTAAACACTTATATTGATTTTTTTAATAAGTCAAATAATTAATAGTAATCAAATTAGTCAAAATTGGCTGATAGGCTAACTATCTTACCAAATAGGGCCTCTATCTTTTACTCCGAGTAAGATAGATGTCTAGTTTTGATTGATTTACAAAAGGAGATGAAAAATAATTTTTATTCATTCATTTTTTTTAACACTCATAATTCTTTATGAGATACAGAGTAATATATATTCTTGTTGGGTGGAGACGGCCAAGTCTAACACTTGGTGGTGACTGAGGGCTGGATCCTAACAGTTTTACACTTTCTCAATTTTTTTAACCCAAAGAGTTAATGTCCCATCAGTGAAAAATACCATCACATTATATACTAGTTCGCATTTTTAATTTTCCTTAGTGTATATTAGCTTCGAGAAATGTTGTATCTTTGGGCCCCAAATCTTGAAAATGGTAAAATTTGTGGTGACGCCATGATTACACCAATTCAAACTTTGTTAACCACTAAAACAACAAAGTAGAAACCTGAACTTTACGAGGAACATGTCTCTTCCTAAGTGTGAACTCATCTTCCTAAAGCATGAAATTAAAAACAAATACATCATCTACATATTCACCTTACTTAGGTTTAAAAATCTTATAAAGCCTTAATTACAATGATCGATATTATTTAAGGTTGTAGAATTGGCAAAGGTCATATATATTTTTCATCGTTCTGCCGCCCAACAATGGAAATTAAATAAGTAAACAAAGAATACTGTTTTGTCACTTAGCTTTTTTAATCATATATCATAACATGTGTTTTCACTGATTCTAAAGAATTGAATGGACTAATACGACAATTAATTACTCATTTCATGACCATTAAAGTCATACATAAGTTCAAATGTTTCTATTTTTTTTTGAGCGACGAGGGAAATTCATTGTCAACCTCTCACTACCCAAGTGCACATGGTAAATTACACTTTAATTTGTAATTCTAATTGGTAAAGAAATATAATGAAATAAACCAATCTAAATTATTCAGCTGGCTCAAACCAATAAGACTAATAATAAGCTGATGTTGTTAGAGTCAAACTTGAAACTCAAAAAATAGAAAAATGACTAAAGTAGTAAAATATGAATATGTTACAAAACTGGTAGAAGTAGATAAGAAAAGACAAAATTTGTGTCTGCTAAGCCTTTCAAAGTGTCAAAATCACAGCCACCCCCCCCCCCCCCCCCCTTAAATTTAGGAAGAAGTTGGTTGTACATTAATATTATATTTAATTTAATAATTTTGTATATTTGTAAACATAATAATAAGTTTGAATTAATTTCACTTTTGGTCCCACGACTTTTGAGTTCGTATCACTTTTGGTGCACAACTTAAAATTTTTTCAATTTTGGTGCCTAACTTTGTTATTTTTATCAGTTTTGGTCCTTCTAGCCATTGACGGTAAAATATTTCCAGATTTTATATTTTAGGGCCAAAATCGTCATCCCATGGAAAGATCTTCAATATTTAAACAAAAGAAAAATCATATTAAGAGGAAAAGAAGAGTTTGTCAATGGTCGAAACTATAAATCCCATAGATCTGTCTGGTTTCTGCCTGTCTTCCCCATTATTCTCATCATTAAACACCTATAGATATGATTTTACAGTGATTTTGTTAGATATTGAAAATGTTTCCTAGGGATGACGATTTTACCCCTAACAATATAAAATCTAGCAACATTTCGCTGTCAATTTGGCCGAAAGGACCAAAACTGATAAAAATAACAAAGTTAGGCACCAAAATTAAAAAATTTTAAAGTTGTGCACCAAAAGTGATAGAACATCAAAAGTCGTGGGACCAAAAGTGAAATTAATTCTAATAAGTTTACCTCAAAAAGTAAAACCCTAATTTTATTAGAGAAAAAAGAAAAGAAAATAAAAATATATGTAGTTTACTTTTTTCTTTACATGAATAGAATAGAATATGTTGGGGTGAAATTAAAAATGAAATAAAAAAGTAAAAGTATATATATATATTGCTCTTTTTTTTTTTTTTTTACGCCACTTATGGTGTACACACCGTAAATCTCACCAAAAAGATCAATAAGTCACTTCTACTGAAAGTTGAAGTTGTAAATTGTAATTTGTGATTACTAAATTAGCTGTTTAACGAACTTGATTAGGGTTATCCTAATGGCCTATTGTACATGGGACCAGTCAAACAGCAGCATTTAAGGATAGTGCAGTGTATAGTACGTGAGATAGCTTGGTGGATATTTGGTCTGATCTATCTATATATATCATAGGAGACAGAGACAGTAAAAAGCTAGGTTACCTGTAGCAGCTTGTTGACATTGCTAGCTCCGAAGACCTTATGCACACTGGCAAACTTGTGAGGCTCATCGGCCGGGAAATAGGGAGCAAAAACACAGTCTTTGGCGCACCTCCTCCGAAGCAGCTTGCATGCCGCACATGGAGAAGCCGCTGCGCCACCTGCTTTTCTCCAGCTTTCTTTCATGTTGTCTTTATCAATATATATGCAGCAACTATACAATAATATTAATAATGCCCTGTCTAGGCTGTCTTTCTGCTCATGTCTTCATCTATAACTACCTTAAAAGCTTTATATATATACACACTAGCTAACTGTCAAAAGTGCAGCAGCAGAGCAGAAGGGTGTCTTTAGTTTGATTAACTGAATTCAAGTGTGGGACGACTATAATATTATATTATTAAGCACAGAATGATTATACGGGAAGTGTAAAGTGAAGAGGATCGGAAACACTCAAACAAGCAGGCTTGAAGGGAGTGATGAAGCAGATGGGGGCTAGGAGGATGTTATATACGAAAAAGTAGTTGCGGGACAACCAACCAAGATAATCAGATGACTAGGTTGACTTGGTAATCACAAAGTTATATAAATTAAATTTATAGTGAGAGTAACTTATTAATTTTTTTTTTTTTTTTTTTTGGTTTAATGTTTGAGTCACTCAGTTATTTATAACTTAGATTGGTTTACTTTATTATGATTATTTAGCGATTAAAATTATAAGTGTAAATTTATTTAATACACACTTTCAGATAGATGGTAGTCACTAGTTTTCTCGTAATTACAAAGCAGATGCGGCCGGAAAATCATCGGTAGGACCTGCAGAAGAATGAGTTTTTTAGATATTTGTTGCGGCCGGACTGCACGGGAAATCTTTGGACCCCGTACCCACCCCCCAATACTTTGTAATATTTTCAACTTTTGTCAATATTTAATTATGATAAAACATTACGACGTGGCCTGGTATAATGTATAATTTTATTATGTTAAAAAAAATCTATAGTTTTACGTCATTTAATTTTGTAGTGATATTGTAAAATTTTAAGAATTCTTTTACTGTTGATATTATGTGTACATGACGTATACCCTGCGTCATATGGACCCATATATAGTTATCTTCCTGTTGCAACATTTTAGGGTTTTCCATGAAAGTTATGAAACCCTGTGTGGGCATGCAGGTGAACCAAAACACCACTTCAGGGTCAAGGCTACTTACGTTTGTTTTTTTTTTTTTTTTTTTTTTTTTTTGTGGTTTAGAATACTTTATTAGAATTTTTTTTTTTTTTTTGTCCAGTTTGGTAAAATAGTTAGCCTATCAGTTAATTTTAGTTTATTTGACCACTATCAGTTGTTCGACTTGGTTAAACAATCAATAGGAATGTTTGATTAATTAGTTTTTTGTAAAATCTTATTGCTCCTGTTAGGAACATATGTATTAAGATTTTGATGATACCAATGTAACTTAGATTGTAGACCCCTAATTTTTTGTCAATTCTTTTGCTACCTTCGTTCTAGACGAAAGGTGCCATAACTCACCATGTAATTCGTGTTAAGATAGTCAAACACACGAAACCGAGTTATGATCTTTTAGTTAGGACTTCTAGAACGAAAGAAGATCGAATGATTGAAGCAGAAGCTACATCAGCAAGAGAATCCACCTCTTGGATTTTCAACAAATAGAGAGATGCTACTTTACAGAACGAAAGCAATCTTTCGTGAAGAGACGTTAAGTCTATGATCAGACTGCCAAGACAATCCATATTCTCATATTTCAAGGAGAATGTTGTCTACGACTCAGCTGATGAATCATCCTAGGAACAAGTTCTCCTAAGGACAGGGAGCACACTAATCAAGATGCATTAAATGTCATTGTACATCTTTTCAGAAGCTAGAAGACAAAACTTGCAGAAGTTCTTGCTTCCAACGACTACATGGTACAACCGCATTTAATGGAGCATTAAATGCAGCAAGCTCCCCGAACATTACCCACTGGTCCATAGGTTTGAAATATCATCTCCCTCCAACGGATGGATATTTCCTCTCCTATAAATACCCTTCTTCTCTGATCCATTGAAGAAGGTGCTGGTTTTTTCACTCAATTGATTATATTCATACAAAAGCTCCTTATACAAGTTCATTCCAAGCTTTTGAAAACTAGTGGTTCAAGTTGTGAAGTTTCAAAGATAGCCATCTAATTACACCTTCACAACCTTGAAGAAGTCTTGCAATTTATACAAGTTGATCATTCATCATTCAACCAGTCAGCCAAGACTTCAACCTGTTGGAGAAACACGCAAATCCTTTCTACCAACCCTCAACTCTGAAGAAGACGTTGATAGAGGCGGAGTAAACTCTAGGAGTTGAAAAACCTTCAAGTAGCTGTCCAGCTTAGTGATCAAGGAAGCTAGCTTGATTTTGTTTGTACTAGGAGTGATAGTGCAAACCTTTCACGAGTTGTGAAAGAAGAGTGGAGTAGACACAGTTGGCCGAACCACTATAAAAATCTCTCCTCTCTCTTTATCTACTTACTGCTTTACTTTTGTGCATTGCATATCATAGCCCCTCAAACCGGAAGTTCTTATAAGCAACAAACAGTGCAAATCAATCTTAAAACTAGTTCAACTAATTTGTTGCGTAATAACCCCGAAAGGAGTTATTTCTGTTAAAAATCGAATTGAGTCTATTCACCCCCCCCCCCCCCTCCTCCCTTCTAGACTCTCCTTTCGACCCTTCCGGGACCAACAACTCCAAAATACTAAAATTCAAAAAACTACTCAAAGTAGCTAGCTTTTTCTATCAACTTTTTGAAAAAATCATTTTGTATATAATCAACTAACAACTAACAGCTAATTTACCAAACACTTTTCTACAATTAACTAATGCTATCAACTAGTCAAACCCACCAACTCAATCAACTTACAGTCATTTACCATACACCCCATTTGTTAGGAGGTCAATTACACTATTTTACTTAGGTTTTTTTTTTTTTTTTTTAATTTATAGTAATGTACATAAAAGTACAAAGTATCAAATACAATTTTATTAAGATGGGTGTATTTGATAATAAAGACTTGTATAAACTTTTAAATAATTATACAAACTTTAAAAGTTTAAAGGTAGTCGATTCAAAATTTTAAAGAGTGTTTAAAAGTTGAGTGGTATTTGAAAACTTTCAAAGTTTTATTACTCCGTATTATTTTTTAAAAAGTTGGATGGTATGTATTTAATTCATTCTTTTAAACAGATTTAAACTCTTTTACTAGATGCATGCCAACTTCATTTTCAAACTCGTGACTTACTTTGATACTAATTTTGAAATCAATGTTTATCGCTACACGAAAAGTTATAACTAATAGTGAATACACAACCTAATTTATTTCTTTATACTTAGATAGCAGTCAGCACCACGTTTCAGGATGCTAGACTCACTCCTACAAGCGACTACCCAACAAATTAAAATTCTCTAAATTTATAATACATCATTTTTGTGGTAGCCAAATTTTATTTTATTTTTTAAATTGCAACACATAAATTTAAGGTATATAAAAAAATTGATATATGATAAATTTATTGAAAGAAAATTATAATATAAATAATAAAAATTAATAGGAGTAATGAAAGTTTGTAAGGTGTAATTAATTTTGACTTTTAATGAATTTTATAAACTTTTTAAAATAAAATAGTCTTTAAAATTGGGTTTGTAATGATTGGTAATATAAAACTTTTATAAGTACTTACAAAATCTACAAAAATTTAAAAAGATTTTATAAAAGTCATTTAAAATGGATAAGAGTCTATCATTCTACAAATTTATAAAATCCTTATTGAATACTCCCATAAGATCAATACATACAAATTAAAATACAATATATTCACATCACCATATAATTTTATCTCTATAAATTGGACTAACCATCGTCAATTCTCCAAAAGTCAAAATCTGCAACTCATAAATCTAGTTCAAGTTCAAGCCTCAATTTAGAGGTTCATGCATCTAGTAATTAATTTAAACTATAATAATAATAAAACTACTATTTATCCAAAGAAAATTTTAGATGATCATTTTGAAAAGCAAGCTTTTTCTTTATTTAATTAAGGAATAAGGGTCGAATAGACCATTCAACTGCACACCAAACTGTAATTAGACCATAGAACTTAAAAAAATACAATTGGGTCCTTGAACAACACAAACTCATGCAATTCAACTCAAAATGATCTGTTTACCTAGAAATATGCTAACATGGCGATTACCCCTTTTAAAATAATTTTTTAAATAATTAATTAAAATTAGAAAAAATAAAAAAATAAGAACGGTCATCGTCTCCATGGCCGGAGACGAAGGTCTCTTCGTCTCCTTGGCAATGGAAACCAAGGGGACCTTCATTCCTTCGTCTCCATGGCCAAAGACGAATTTGTGGCATGTGGTTTGTGTTATTAAGGTGTTTTGTTTGTGTGTTTAAGGTGCATACGTGGTTTGTGTACTTAAGGTGCGTCATTTTAAAACTTTAGGTGCGTGCAGTGGTTTGTATTCTTAAGGTGCTTTGTTTGTGTGCTTAAGATGCGCTATTTTAAAACTTTAGGTGCGTTGTTTGTATACTTAAGGTGCACCATTTTAATGCTTAAGGTGCATCTTTTTGTGTTAACTGCATGGGAAGCAATATCCGCACCATACATACATGTATGCATTACATACATACATACATACATACATACATACATACATACATACATACATATATATATATAAAGGATCAGGTGCGGTAATAGGTTGTAGGTGAAAGATTAAAAAATTGAAAGATGGGGCTTAATCTCAACATTTGATCTAGCCAAAATCAACAGTCCAGATTGAAGAAAACTTTAAAAAAAAAAAAAACGCGGTGAAATTATGATAATTTTGCATTATTTCAAAAGTTAAGGTGTGTATGTTTAAGAGAAAATTTCAATTTTGGTCCACTAACTATTGGAGTTATGTTAATTGCAGCACATGACTTTCAAAAATGATAATTTAGTACCTTGACTATGCAATTTCTATCAATTTTGGTCACGCCGGCCAAATCTCACCGAAAAAATTTTAATGGTCAAATTATGAGGGTAATTTAGTCATTTTATTCCTCTTTTCTTTCTTCTCCAATCTTCTCTCCATCTCCGGCGACAATTTATTTTCCGATGAGCTTCCGCAGGCAGACCGGTCGAACACCAGCAATTCTCTCCATCGAAATCCGAATCGAAGACATTTTCTAGACAAATTAAAGTGATTCTGGAAGCTATATATACCGGATCTCATCTTTCTTGCATTTGAAAAGTAACCAAATCGGAGAGATACCTAACAGCGCAGCTGCAACCATCACCGGAGAGATTGAAAGATAAATCAGAATGAGCAAAATGTCAGTGCAAGCGTACGTGGACGATCAATTGATGGCCGACATTGAGGGAAACCACCTCACCGCCGCCGCAATTATCGGCCA